AAACTGTGTGTGTTTGTTTATTATGTCTGGGCTGGAACCCTCCGACACCAAAGTGGAAAAGGCGCATTCTTTGATGAGGCAATGGAACTTTAATATGAATACAACAACAACAAATGTCTCCCTCTGTGTGTGTGTGTGTGTGTGTGTGTGTGTGTGTGTGTGTGTGTGTGTGTGTGTGTGTGTGTGTGTGTGTGTGTGTGTGTGTGTGTGTGTGTGTGTGTGTGTGTGTGTGTGTGTGTGTGTGGTGCAGACAAACACACACACTTCAGAGGGTTTGGTGTTTTTCTTACTTCCTTCATTTTCTCTCTACGTGCCGGGCTTGTTTACTCGGGTCTGTTACATCACCTCCGCACACTGACAGAGAGAAATGGCTTGTGTGGGAAGTTTGGTGAATACATAATTTTGCTCTCTGTGTAGGCCTCTGTGTGTGTGTGTGTGTGTGTGTGTGTGTGTGTGTGTGTGTGTGTGTGAACATTCTGTATACAGTGTGTATTGCGTGTACAGTGGTGTGTACTAGCAACCGTTTTTGCTTCGGGGTCAAACATTGCAACAGTGTCTGACAATACCTCAAGTCTTTAATAAGAAACCCAAGAAGTTTATATCTCATAACTCATTCTGAAAGTATTTCCAGAGACACATTTACTCTGTTGCACAATAAAAATGTTTTCAGCTTCGCAAGATGCAATTGCATTTGTTTGAAAGGACACACTTGGTCTTCGTACCCATGCTAGCAACATATTTCTGTCTGTCAAAAACCACTGGATAGATTGACAACATTTTCTGTGTAGGCGTTCATTTTTCCCAGAGAATGCTAACAACGTTGGTGATCTTCTCAGCCTACCTTCACACAACCAGCACGTTCACTTTAAGATTCTTATTATACACCAGAAAGAATGATGCATCTTCTATTAATGAGTTATTAATGCAAAAATGATTATCAAATTATTTAACATCAATTTAAAGTTTTCAATGTGTATGCTTGATTTCCATTTCAAAAGTTTGAAGCATATTTTGATGATTAGTGGAATAAATGTGTAAATCTAAATTCATTTTGGCCATAATAATATTGACATGAAGGTTTCCAATTGTCCTAATCTCAAATTACTCGATGAATTGTCATTAGGTGTGGCACAGATGAAACCACTTTGCACAATTACCAAAACACCTTAAAGTCACAATTTGTATTTTCCTTCAACTTTGATTTATGAACAAATACCTGCAAAACGTTACCTAAAATGCTCATTTGCAAATATTAGCGTGCTAACGAGGCTGTGAAAGGGCCCTGTACCTTAAATATCAGGATGTTTGCATTGCAATTTTGAACATGGTGCAAGCCAATGTTAGCAATTAGCAATATTGACATCAATACCTTTATACATATAATAAAAAGTGGAAAATATTTGTCTTATAGATGATTAGAAGATTTAGAAATTATCTTTAGAACAGCGGTAAGGGTTTTTATTGACATAGCTGGGTATTTCTTTTTTGGAGTCGGATGCTAATGTGTGTGATTCAGCTTTAATGGAACCACATGAGAGGCTCAGCATGGAGCTCGGTGTGTGTGGAGGCTTTTGAAGTGTGTGTTTCTGATGTGCAAACAAAGTGTGTATGCACATGTGTCTTTCTATGCAGCACAAGGGCAGGAGGTGCTTTTGTAGAGGATAAAGGGACAGGATATTTTCCCTGTTCACACAAATTAAACAATTAACTGCATCCCTCTGCTTAATGACACATTTCAGGGAAACTGTGAGAGAAAACAACAATTAAAACACCCACAATCCCTCCTACTGAACCTCAACAAGCAGCCCACTGCGTGTTCCTGCGTCCCCGTTTCAACGTTCCAGAGTGCATGCAGTGGATGTGGAATATGTATTTAACCCTGTGTGTGTGTGTGTGTGTGTGTGTGTGTGTGTGTGTGTGTGTGTGTGTGTGTGTGTGTGTGTGTGTGTGTGTGTGCGTGCGTGTGTGTGTGTGTGTGTGTGCGTGTGTGTGTGTGACTGCAGATGGTTTCCTGTGTGCGTGTCCGCGGGGATGACAGGAAGATTATCCAGGCGCTGCTCACCTCCGCTCTGCACCCTTCAATGAAAACCTTAAAGCAAATGAACTAAATGTATGTCTGTTTACATGGGTGTGTGTGTGTGTGTGTGTATGTGTGTGTGTGTGTGTTTGCAGAGACAGGTGGCCTGGGAACCTCCGAGTATAGGTGAAAGGGATGTGGGGGCTAAAGACAGGATATGGAGGGAGGCAGCTGTGAAATCTAATGAAGTACATGTACTATATATTATGCAGTGCAATATTATAGTACTGTACATAAGTCATATGCGGACATACTTGTACTTAACTTGAGTGTTTGAGTGTATTATTATTGAAAAATGTGCAATGCTACAGGGTAAACTCCCCCCATGCCTGAAACGCTTTCATTGGACTCCTATGTTTACTTCCTGAACATCAGCAGGAGAGGACTCTTTAAAGTAGAGACACTACTGATATACACCTGAACATCAGCAGGAGAGGACTCTTTAAAGTAGAGACACTACATACTGATATACACCTGAACATCAGCAGGAGATGACTCTTTAAAGTAGAGACACTACATACTGATATACACCTGAACATCAGCAGCAGAGGACTCTTTAAAGTAGAGACACTACATACTGATATACACCTGAACATCAGCAGGAGAGGACTCTTTAAAGTAAAGACACTATATACTGATATACACCTGAACATCAGCAGGAGAGGACTCTTTAAAGTAGAGACACTACTGATATACACCTGAACATCAGCAGGAGAGGACTCTTTAAAGTAGAGACACTACATACTGATAGAAACCTGAACATCAGCAGCAGAGGACTCTTTAAAGTAGAGACACTACATACTGATATACACCTGAACATCAGCAGGAGAGGACTCTTTAAAGTAGAGACACTACATACTGATATACACCTGAACATCAGCAGCAGAGGACTCTTTAAAGTAGAGACACTACATACTGATATACACCTGAACATCAGCAGCAGAGGACTCTTTAAAGTAGAGACACTACATACTGATATACACCTGAACATCAGCAGGAGAGGACTCTTTAAAGTAGAGACACTACATACTGATATACACCTGAACATCAGCAGGAGAGGACTCTTTAAAGTAGAGACACTACATACTGATATACACCTGAACATCAGCAGGAGAGGACTCTTTAAAGTAGAGACACTACATACTGATATACACCTGAAACATCAGCAGGAGAGGACTCTTTAAAGTAGAGACACTACATACTGATATTCACCTGAACATCAGCAGGAGAGGACTCTTTAAAGTAGAGACACTACATACTGATATACACCTGAACATCAGCAGGAGAGGACTCTTTAACGTAGAGACACTACATACTGATATACACCTGAACATCAGCAGGAGAGGACTCTTTAAAGTAGAGACACTACATACTGATATACACCTGAACATCAGCAGGAGAGGACTCTTTAAAGTAGAGACACTACATACTGATATACACCTGAACATCAGCAGGAGAGGACTCTTTAAAGTAGAGACACTACATACTGATATACACCTGAACATCAGCAGGAGAGGACTCTTTAAAGTAGAGACACTACATACTGATATGAAACTGAAAATGAGCGTTTAACCCTTTAGTAACATGTGATAATGTATTAGTTGATTTAAATATGTATTAATAATCTAAACCTGCAAAGTAACTGAAACTAAATCTGTCAGATAAATGTAGTGGATAAAAAAGGACAACATTTGAATACAAAATGTGGTCGAGTCAGATAGATAGATACTCTATTGATCCCAATTTCGGAAATTATTTTGTTACAGCAGAAGCATCAGTGTGTTCAGAAAAATAAAATACAAATACTTAAGAAGTGGAAAAGAGAATTAACAATTAAAAGTACAATTTAAAATACAACATCAAATATAAACAATACAAAATATTCTGGATAATTAAATAAAAAAGATGTATAAAGTAATGTGAAAATACTAAAGTACAAGTAACTCAATTTTGTATTTAAGTACATTATTGAGTATATTTAATTATTTTAGTTCTGTTTTATCTTCTATTTTGAGATGTTTATATTGTATAATTGTTTATTTTCTACTCTTTTTTATTCCTAATTATGTACATGCTTGTTTTACCTGTTGCTGCAACGAAAACATTTCCCAATTAGGGATTAATAAAGTATATAGAGATGGTCACACATGCACACACAGTGACATTTGTTCTCTGCTTTTAACCCATCCTAGCACCAAGAGTCTAGCACCAAGAGTCTAGTACCAAGAGTCTAGTACCAGGAGTCCAGGAGTGTCCAGTGCCTTGCTCAAGGGCACCACGGCAGGGCAGGAGGTGAACTGGGACCTCTCCAAGTAGCAGTCCACACTCCATATTTAGGTCTGGTCGGTGATTTGAGCCGGCGACCTCACTGTCCAAGCCCCTGCTGACTGAGCCACTGCCGGACATATTTTATGTTATATTATTATCTTATCTTAGTTACACAACTGATGGTAGAATAACCATTCCTACATCACTGTCCAGCTTCCTCTTGTACTTGATCTGTTCAGCTCTTGTCTGTAAGTATTTTTATAAAGTGAGGGGAAGGAAATTCCTCTCTGTTTTCCATGGCTGCCTCCAGTATTAATGCAGCACAGACTCACAGCTGAGTATATTTATTTAACTTTTCACAAAGCAGCAGCCAGGACAGAGGTATGCGTGTGAAAAGAACTTTAAAGCATCAAAAATATTATTTTCGCTCGAACATAAATAAATAAACACCCAGAAGCCAGGTCCTCTTTGGAATGTAGTAATTCTGAATTTTTATGAATGACTGCATTCATGCTAGGCCACGCCCCCTCATCTCTCCGTGTTTGAACTCCAAGCCCCGCCCACCATGCTGCCTCCTGATTGGTTGAAGGAGTTCTGGAGTGGGTGTGGCTTCCGTAAACAGCACAGCGCTGATATAAAAACAAAGCGTCAAACTTTCTGATCGATGAAAATGTACGAGTGATGGGAGAGATTAAAGGACCGGCGTGCATTGCGGATTTTACTTTTTGGGACAAAAGCCTTTGTTTCTGAGCATGTGGAGGATTTATTTTTCTTTGATATAAGTTTTCTCCTCTTCTATGTGAGTCAGCTGACAGCATGGGAATACTGCTGTTATTTGCTGTCGTGCAGGTGGTGACAGTCGGACTGGTGAGTGCAGGATGTGTATGTATTGACTCGGTTATGCTTCCTGTAAACACTGAATAATAAAAACTGTATTTATTGTAACTGCAGCTATTTTAATCTGCACTCGTTTGTTTACATTACCCATAAAGCCGTATCTTCCTTCTCCAAAATCAAAATAATGGTCGAACTAAATTGCAGCTGCACACACGTGAATAATAAATCTTCTATAGCCCTATTTTTCCTTCCATGACTCAGTGTTTTATCCTCATATATAATAAGTATGTGGGAATATTTGCATGTTTTCAATATGGGGTTAGAGGGACCACATGAGGTTCTTAAGTGGTGTGTCATTAGGTCCGTATGAAGGTTCCTTTTGGACATATACTGCAATATACATCCTGCATTGATAATGTCACTTGAGTTCATTAATGCTAGTGTTATTAGTATTACAAATATTGGATTACTATTACAGATGCATCATGGTGTATTTATGACTTTTACTGTTGTTGTTTTTAGTCAAAGATGGGTAGTTGATAACCTGATCAAGCGTCATTCATTTGTTGTTTTTTCAAAGTATATGTACATACGCTTTCTATCCCTCTCGTACACTTCCGTAATATTAGATGAAAGTCCTGCTAACGGAGATAAAAATACCCATGACTCCCACTCACTGTGAACTCATTGCCCTTTATAAACGAGATGTGACTTTTGTACAGAGGATGTTTCAAGTTCCAGGCTATTGTCACTGGATTGTGTAATGTCATGGATTTAGACGTGTGTGTGTATTGTGTGTGTGTGTGTGTGTGTGTGTGTGTGTGTGTGTGTGTGTGTGTGTGTGTGTGTGTGTGTGTGTGTGGAGATGGAAGGAGTACTCAGATGTTATATTGTAGGTGAAAATAACAGTACTAAATCAAATTAAAACTCTGTAACAAGTACAATTCCTGCATTTAAAATGTTACTTCAATAGAATACAAACATATTTGAATCTTAATATACTAAAATTAAGTAAATGTATGCGTAATGGCCCATTTCAGGATTATAATGACTGATGCGTTAATGCTTTCATCACAGCAGGTAACGGTGGAGCTCATTTTATCAACTCGATATACTGTTGCTGGACATCTTAATAACCTATAATTATATGTCATTGTTTATTTATTCATAACCATTTTAATCTGCAAAAAGCTGTATAAAGATTCAAAGCGATTCAAGATTCAAAGGTTTTATTGTCACAAAGCTACAGTGTAGAAATAGCAATGAAATTCTTCTGACCTGAGCTCCTCCAACAATGCAACGTATAATAAAATACAAAAATAAAAGTAGTGCAAAAAGTCTGTATACAAAGAAAATACTCAGGTAAAATACCTCTTCTTTACTCCACATCCCACCGCTGTGTGTGAATGTGAGACACAAGGGATTGGCTGGTGGCTGGTGGTGGGGGGGTTTGGGGGGGTTTTGGGTCAGAGAAAGTGCCTTTCATCCCGACTCGCTCCTGTAAATGCCAAGCGGAAGGCGACAGAGGGTTACAGATATCCCTGAGGGCCGGGACAGTGCTCAGCATTCAGCTAATGTTTAAGCCTCACACACTTTCAGGAATTTCAGGGATCTGTGTAACATAAGTCCGACTATTGTCCCGCTTTGGTCTCCTCCTAACATGGAAAATGTGTGTGAAGTCAGTTTGCAAATATGCAGGTAAACTAAAGTTTGAGGAACAACATGGAAAAGGCACAACAAGTTGGTCTTAATGGGTAAAAATGTTATATATTATGAGTCTTTTTACATTATTCAATACCAATTTCTCACCTACCCTGAGGAATTACATAGAAATAGTTGGTTTGCCAATATTTAACCAGAGGTCACACACTGTGAAGTCACCAGGAAAATGTACATTAATTTGGTTTAAGTCAGTACATTTTTTATTATTATGTCAACCAGGCCTTTCTTGTTCCAACCACATTGAGGAATGACGTGATAAATGCACACAAAGTTGGTTTGAATTGGTAAAAGAGGAATTACACCATCAGTCTGACCTTGTTTTTACACTTTTCAACAAGTTACTACAGTCCATATATCCTCAGGTTGACTAAAGTACACACTATGGGCCCTCACACACTTCAAAGGATTCCTTGGAGAATGAACATGAGGAAGTTAATTTGCCAATATTCCAGTTTACTGGTTCCTGTTTTTCTTCCTTATTTCTTTGATGTCTTAACAACATTGTATATTGGACTGTTGGAGGAGCCATCACATTTTCATGGCTAACAACCACGCTGTTTCTATCCTGCATCAATAAGGAAAAGGTCCTGATAGCCAATATTCAGGTTAACTAAAGACCACACTTTGTCGTTGCATTACATTAGATTTTATTTCAATTACCGGACATTTGTTCTATCCAAAGCGACTTACAATATATGCGCTTAAACATAAATATACAGACTCCTGCAGGTACATTAGCTGTCAATGGGGAACACCAATTTAAGTGCTACATATATAGAGAGAGATGTATTTTGTATTGGCCAAAGTGAAGTGGAAACAGGTGGGTTTTCTGTCTGTGAGCTAAGACGTGTAGACTTTCTAGCGTCCTACCGTACTACAAATTTCACATTTTGAAGGACTTGCTGGGACCTTTGTACTTAATATAACTATTATTGGTTCCAGTGGAGCTCCCCCTTACATGGAAAAGATACATGAAGTGTTATATTCAGGTTAAAGTGCACACTCGGTCTTTTCACAAACTTTTAGGACAAACTTGTGAACGTATTCGTCAAAATATTGTCCTGCTGGTCGCTGAATAGCTTCTGATTTTCAGGACCATTTACGCTTTTCATTCCCTTTATCTCCCTTTCAAATCTGTCTTCTATAATAAAACCACATAAGGGCTGAGACAGAAATGTTTTAAACAAAAGAAAAACATTGTCCTGATTGGTTCCTACTCCATGAACAATCAAATAAGTACTAAAAGTCACTTTGCCAATATTCAGGTTCACTAAAGTGCACACTAGGTCCCGTCAGACATTTGGAGGAATCACAAGGTAAATGTATGTAAAGTTGATTTGCTAATAAGGAGGTTAAATAGAGTGCACACTATGTCCTTTCATACACTTTGAAGAACTGCTGGGATCTTTCTAGTGCAAGTCAAACTAATGGACTGCAATTATAAAGCGCTTTTCCAGTCTTTACGACCCATCAAAGCACTTTTACATATAGTCAGCTTTCACCCATTCACATCCATTCATTCAGAGGAATACAAGGAGCCACCTGCCCAGGAGACTCTGACACACCGTTGGCCATCGGGAGCAATTTGGGGTTAAGTATCTCGCCCAAGGACACATCAAAATGTTGACTTTAGGGGCTGTGATTGATCCCACAACCGTAGAGGACCGCACTACCTCCAAAACACCCTATGAGAGTACACCAAGTCCAATATTCAGGTTGTGTCTAGTCTTTTCATTGGTATTGTACAATGCCATGTCTTTTTATGCTGCTGCAATGCAAAAATGTCCCAAATTGGGATCAATAAAGTACTTCTTATCTTGTCTTATTAGGTTGTTTCTTTCTTTCCGTTAACTGTCAAGTGGGAACTACGTATTTTTTTGTACGTTTTTGTGTTAATCTTATTTTCCTACGATACTGTTATGATTGGCTGTGAATAAGAACATATGACAACATTTATTTTGAGAAAGGGGCAGGTAATATAAGATTATTATAACATTCTGAGTTGGGAACATTTGATAGAATATAGGAACAGCTTTCTGGTGTACAAAGTCCTGCACAATACAGCCCCTGCACCTCTTAACTCATTGGTTACTCAACGTAACAACACCAGACTGACCACTAGAAGCACGCGGCGACCTATCAGTCCCATTCAGGAAGAGTACTTTTGGTCAGTTATCATTCTCCGTCACAGTGATACAAAACTGGAACTCTCTACCCACTAGTGATTTTACGTTTGCGAACGATCCGATTCTTTTGAACGGCTCTTTGGTACGATCGAAGGGAACCGAGTCGTACTTGGTGAGAGCCGTTCTTTTTATCGTTGGTTCCCTGCCTGCCATAAATCCACTCGCCTTTACGGGAACTTTCCTGAATGCAAATGTTCCGTAGATGATGGCATAACGCGTGCTGCTTGAGTAGTAGTTTGGCTGAGAGATGGAGCAAGTTATACATTTTCTGTGAGTAAAAGTAGATTTCTGGCAAAACAGTCAATCATTATCCTGGTGATTATTTCGCAGATAAACGTAACTCCGCCCCCTTAAAACAAAACGTGTTGGATATGGCGTGTGTGTATGTTGTGATCATGGACCCCTCGTTTCCTTTGTGTGATTGTGATGTGCTATAGCCTATGTGACATGTATGTAGTAACGTGTGTTGTTTATTGTTCTCTCCTTTCGCCTCTATCTACTTGTCTTTCATCCTTTCTTTATAACTAATGCTGTTGCTGTATTGTGATTTAAAAAAGGTGTCTATTATCATCTGGCCGGGGACAACAGCTGGAAATGAGCATGTTGGCTAAAGCTGCCCCATTTACTGTTTTTAAGAAATACAAATGAAATGATCTTTATTAAAAGTGTACATTGTCCCCTAGGTGTCTGCTGGCTGCCCGGAGGTGTGTGTGTGTGCCGGCCCCCCCTCCTGCCCCCCGGGCGTCTCCTCCGTGCCGGACGGATGCGGTTGCTGTAAGGTCTGCGCCGCGCAGCTGAACCAGGACTGCCAGGAGGGAAGAAGACCCTGCGACCATCACAAGGGACTGGAGTGCAACTATGGCAACGATGTGGGACGAACACACGGCATCTGCAGAGGTACGACCAGGGAAACCTCCTCCACCTCAACTATGGGCATTATCTCTCATTTAGCGCTGTACTTAAAGGTCCCCTATTATACTGTTTTTCATCAACAGGTCTCAGATACATACAGAGCCTGTCTCTAATTGGCTGAAACAGATCATTGCAGCATTACCCATAATCCCCTCTGTTTCAGCCCTGTTTCCAAAGTGCTGATTCTCTGTCTGTTACTTCAGATGAAAATAAGGAGCCCCTCCCCACGCCCCTCTGAGAGAGATTTGGTTACAAAGAACTCAATGGTGCTCTAGGAGGAGATTCAGGTGATAAGGTGGGGGGGTTACCTTGGTTGCTGATTGGCTAATGGTTACACAAGCCAAAACATCGTTATGACATCATAAAGTGGCCAAAATCTGATCAGCTCATTTTCAGACAGGTTTTTATAGAAATGGACAAAAAGAGAGAGAATCTTTGTTCCTGAAACTTTCAGAGTCTCTTTCCACAGAGGGGACACATGTTGATGTAGAAGAGACATGAAGAAGAGGGGACACATGTTGATGTAAAGAGACATGAAGAAGAGGGGACACATGTTGATGTAGAAGAGACATGAAGAAGAGGGGACACATGTTGATGTAGAAGAGACATGAAGAAGAGGGGACACATGTTGATGTAGAAGAGACATGAAGAAGAGGGGACACATGTTGATGTAGAAGAGACATGAAGAAGAGGGGACACATGTTGATGAAGAGACAGAAGAAGAGGGGACACATGTTGATGTAGAAGAGGACATGAAGAAGAGGAGAGACATGAAGAAGAGGGGACACATGTTGATGTAGAGGAGACATGAAGAAGAGGGGACACATGTTGATGTAGAAGAGACATGAAGAAGAGGGGACACATGTTGATGTAGAAGAGACATGGAGAAGAGGATTCTGCATAATAGGTGACCTTTAAGTGAAATATGAGTTACTTGTACTTCCCTTTACTCAAACGCTAACCTTCCACTATATTTTTAGGCAAATGTTGTACTTTTGAGTTACTCATTGTGGGCCGAACACATGGCACCTGCAGAGACGAGGGAAACTAAGTGCATTTACGTTCATATAGTAGTGGCATTATTAAGGGACATTTTGAGGGACAACCTTAACCCTCCACTTAATTTTTAGGCACATGTTACAGCATTAGTCACTATTTTCTTTACAGATGTAGGTTATCAGTGCAAAATGTAAATCTACTAATACATACGTAATAAAGATTGCACTCGCCGGCAGTACGTAGAGTCAATCAAACTAACTTTAACAGCTGCAACACATAACCGACGCACACATCAATTATTATAATACAATCCTTAACTATTAATGATTCTGAAATTGTTATACTTAATAACGAGTACTGTTTTTACTTTGACTTGAGTCTGATTTTGAATGTTGGACTTTTACTTGTAACTAAGTATATTAACACTGCAGTATTGCAACTATTACTTAAGTAAAACATCGTAGTACTTCTTTCACGTCTGCGTCAGGGTCTGAAAAGTAAAGCTAAAAAGTTAGTGCTTTAAACCTGCATTATTTCAAATAGCCAACTCCAAAATAAGTCAGATTGTATATAAGTCTATGAAGAAATGACCCTACTTCTCACCTGATTTATTACACCAGTAATCACTCCTTCAAATACGTTTTCTGGGCTCATCACTAGTTTTCTACGTTTTTTACAATACAGTAAGTTATGTTGTAAATTATGTTCTTATTTGAAGTCAAATAGACGATAAAGCAGAGTAGGCTTTAGGTATTGTATATTAGTCTATGAGAAAACAACCCTAATTCTCACCTGATGTATTACATTACATAACATTACATTGCATTTAGCTGACGCTTTTATCCAAAGCGACTTACAATAAGTGCATTCGACCAAGAAGATACAAACTTGAAGAAAACAGAATCATAAGTACATCAGGTTTCATAGAGCCAAAACATTTCAAGTGCTACTCAACTGGCTTTAGATAAGCCAGTCCTTTGTTAGTATATAAGTTCTTTGTTAGTAATTCTATCGCTCGAAGTGGAGTCGAAAGAGATGGGTTTTCAGTCTGCGCCGGAAGGTGTGTAAGCTTTCTGCTGTCCTGATGTCAATGGGGAGCTCATTCCACCATTTAGGAGCCAGGATAGCAAACCCACATGTTTTTGCTGATGGGAACTTGGGTCCCCCTCGCAGTGCGGGTGCAGCGAGCCGTTTGGCTGATGCAGAGCGGAGTGCACGTGCTGGGGTGTACAGTTTAACCATGTCCTGGATGTAGGAAGGGCCAGATCCATTCGCAGCATGGTACGCAAGTAAACATTTTTCTAATGAGTTTATGGTCTCAATCCCAAGTTTCAAGTCTCCTTCGATACAGAATGATGTATATTTTGTACACGATGGACCCATTTAGAGATAAACCCTTTCACAGTCTTTTTTCAGTTCATGAAAGTTGATTGTAAAATGTTGTTTGCCAAAAAAAAGTCTTCAGCGTTTGGTCGTAGTGAGATCCACTTCCTGAGTTGCTCCAAAAAACTAAATGGCAGTAATCTCTCCTTCAAATTAGTTTATGGCCTTATCACTAGACTTCTAGTTTTTTTTACTATACAGTAAATGATGTTCTCATTTGAAGTAAAATAGACGACAAAGCAGAGTTTGCTTTAGGTATTGTATAGAAGTCTGAGAAAACGACCCTAATTCTCACCTTACATGACATAAACTGCTGCTCATAACCAATTGCCCCTTGCGGGATTAATAAAGGTGTTGATTGATTGATGGATTGATTGATTGATTGATTGATTGATTGATTGATTGATGTATTACTTGGTAAACATTTTTGTAATGAGTTTATGGTCTCAATCCCTACTTTCAAGTCTCCTTCGATACAGAATGATTTTGTACACGATGGACCCAGTTAGAGAAAATGTGTAAAGGAAAGTTCATTATAAAATGTTGGTTGCCTAAAAGAAACGTCTTCAGCGTTCGGTCGTAGTCAGCTCCACTTCCTGAGTCACTTCTTGCTCCTAAAAACAAAATGGCAACGTCCAAAAATCAAGATGTCGGCGGCTAAAATCCCCAAACTCTCGGCTTCAAAACGGTAGTCCACAAAACCAATGGGTTAAGTGAAGGTCACTACGGCCACTTCTCCTAATATGCAGTCTATAAGTAGGTGGTAGGAAGGATACAAGAGGAAGAGGAGGGGGAGGAGGGTCCGATTCGGGGGGAGTTTTTTAGGTTTAGAGTCGGGCATTGAGTTTGGGGTTTAGCTCGGGGTTGAGTGAGGGGATGTGTGACTTCAGGGCGGGGGGGAAATCTGGCTGGAGTTTCTCTTTGATACGAGTTTCGGGTTTGAAGCCGGTGCCACGTTTTCAAAAACCAGAGCACCTTCATGAGCTGCCACTGAAACCCAGCCAACTGCACAGGATTCATATAAGTAGTTCAGTGTGTACACACACACACACACACACACACACACACACACACACACACACACACACACACACACACACACACACACACACACACACACACACACACACACACACACACACACACACACACACACACACACACACACACACACACACACACACACACACAGACACACACACACACACACACAGTGATATTTTTATATGTGTGTTTATTTGGGGGTGTTTCTAAATAAAGGGGGGTGCATGCGGGGTGTCCCACTCGGGGAGCGACATTGTAAACAAGTCTAAATTCCTTTCTGATCTAAGAATAGAGCTCGCTTCATAAAAGTGGAGATAGTGTGTCTCGCCGTCTCTCCTCTGATCTCTGTGCATATTAAAGATGCGTTTACATATCAGCCACTTCCTGTTTGTTCTTTTATTTCCTGTCACAGCTTTTCACAGAGTTTCCTTTTTGAATTTAGAATATTTGATATCTGAACACTTCAGTTTTTGAAGTACGGTTTGGATACTTTTCAGCCCATACTGATAATTACCTGCTTCTTATGATAAGATAATATCCAATTGTTGTATTTGAAAGTTCATAAACTGTAGTTTTGCTCTCTTGATGCTAACACATGCTAACAAACAATGAGCAAATATGCATTATGTAATGTTCCACAGCTATATTATTACCACAATAGACAAACAAAAATGTCTGACTTCTCAAATATTAATGTTTTTTTTAGTAACGTACCTCAGAGGCTTCTGGAACTTGCAACTGCTTTTTTATCTGTGAAAAATGTCACAAACAAGAATTAGATCTTTGACTCTGTACTCAGCATTGTGCAGATTCTTCTTCTTTGTCTTTATAGGATAGCAAAACTATTTTAACTTGCACAGCGCCACCTACTGTATAAATATTGCATTTGTTAAGTTAATGAGCGACAATTTTAATAATGTTATCGGCTAGATTTTAACATAGTAATATACATTGCCCATTCTCTTTTGGCCATAATATATATAAATATTTGACCTGCTGTGATGCAAGTCAAATTTCAGACTTGATCTGACCATTAAAGTATTATCGTATCGTATCGATCGTATCGTAAGTGCATCCCTAGTTTGTTTTTGTCCTTTTAAAGGTCACCTATTATGCAAAATCCACTTCTTCATGTCTCTTCTACATCAACATGTGTCCCCTCTTCTTCATGTCTCTTCTACATCAACATGTGTCCCCTCTTCTTCATGTCTCTTCTACATCAACATGTGTTCCCTCTTCTTCATGTCTCTTCTACATCAACATGTGTCCCCTCTTCTTCATGTCTCTTCTACATCAGCATGTGTCCCCTCTGTGGAAAGAGGCTCTGAAAGTTTCAGGAACAAAGATTCCCTCTCTTTTTGTCCTGATCCATTTCTATAAAAATCTGTCTGAAAATGAGCTGATCAGATTTTGGCCACTTTATGATGTCATAACGATGTTTTGGCTTGGGTAACCATTAGCCAATCAGCAACCAAGGTAACCCCCCCCCCCCCCTTTCACCTGAATCTCCTCTTAGAGCACCATTAGGCGCTTTCACACTGCGGTACTTTTCCCACAAAGGTTCATGTGAACTCTTTTATCGCGTTCACACCAAAAAGAGCCGGTACTAAAATTAGTTCATGTGAACCTTTTTACCCCCACGAAAGTCCCTGCTAGAGAGCAGGGACTTTCGAGCGGCTCTTTTGTGAGAAAAGAGCTACATTTCTGATTGGCTGGAAGGATTGCAAACCACGCCCCGCAAAACTCCCAAAAAGTTTTGTGAAGCCGCCATTTTATTATCCTCGCATTAGCATTATTAGCATTAGCATTAGCCCAGCGCAGAAACGCAGAGAGACTAACTTATGGCAACACAAAATAAAACATGGGAGTGGTGGAGATGAGGAGGTGTCGGCGTTCTGGCGATGTACTCGGAAGGCTTCAGTAGAAGCTGCTGGGACTCCCAGCAGCTTCTACTGAAGCCAGTCCCTAACTCCGGGGACTTCCGGCCGGGGACTTTGGGCGGCGTGAAGTGGTTTGCGGCTTGCCAGTAAACCCAAAGCAGAAGAAGAAAAAGTGACGTCAGCGGCTTCATTTGCCTAATCCACCCCCAGGTACTTTTTCCAGTGTGAACGCGATCTGTACATGCGAACTAAAGAGTTCACATGAACTAAGTTCACATGAACCTTTGTGGGAAAAGTACCGCAGTGTGAAAGCGCCTATTGTGTTATTTTTAACCAAATACCTCTCAGAGGGGCGTGGGGAGGGGCTCCTTATTTTCATCTGAAGTAACAGACAGAGAATCAGAACTTTGGAAACGGGGCTGAAACAGAGGGGATTATGGGTAATGCTGCAATGATCTGTTTGGTGTTTCAGCCAATCAGAGACAGGCTCTGGATATATCTGAGACCTGTGATATATTGATGAAGAACAGTATAATAGGGGACCTTCAAAGTATCTTCCACTAACCCTTGTGTCCTCTTCTTCCTTTCCCCCCAGCAAAGGCAGAGGGCCGTTCATGCGAATACAACGGAAGGATTTATCAAAACGGAGAGAATTTCAGTGCCGGGTGCAAACATCAGTGCACGTGCATCGACGGGGCGGTGGGCTGCGTGCCGCTCTGTCAGAGCAACGTGCCGCTGGCTTCCACTTCCTGTCCGGCTCCACAGCTCGTCAAGGTGCCCAAAAACATCACTCAAAACACACCTGTTCAACCACTGAACATCCACACTGATAATGACCTGCTTCTTATGACAAATACCATTCATATAATTTCAAGTTGTATTATTTTAAGGATCATAAGCTATAGTTGTATCACTTGATGCTAACAAAGGCTAACAAACAGTGAGCAAAGATGCATTATTTAATATTCCAATAGCTGTATTATTACCACAATAAATAAACAAAAAGTTCTGACTACCACAGATATTGAGTTCTTTTTAGTAATGATAAAAATAACTATGAAATAAGAAATTAATTAAAATGAACATATACATAATGGGTCATATATACATATTAGATATATTAACATGTGTGGAAAGAGTGTGTATTTTTGGTGTTATTCTCTGTCAAAGCGTCTTTGAGTTTCTAGAAAAGCGCTATATAAGTGTCATGTATTATTATTATTATTATTATTTTTATTATTCCTTTTTATTCCTATGTAAATACTGCTATATTTTACTATATTTTTTATTATTTCTAATATTTTTTAATGTTGATTTGATTAGATTTATTCCGAATGTGTAAAACAATAATAAAAAAAAATAACGTGAGAATTATTATAGAATAAAAAAATTAAGCAGTGTCAAATTGATATACAAATAAACAAATAATCTACTTAATTACACATCCGAAAAGGCGTGGGAAGAAGTTTACACTTATTTAATCCCTCCCCTTCTCCGCAAAAAAAAATTATTAACATATATATATTTTTTCTTTATGTATGCACCACGACATCAAGTCAAATTCCTCGTACGTGTCACCCTACCTGGTAATAAACCTGAATCTGATTCTGATCAGGTGCCCGGACAGTGCTGCCTCAAAATCGACTGCCACAAAGGATCCTCCATCCAACCTCCAGTGTACCCGCCTTACCCCTTCATCCCATACCCGGCGTACCCCTTCCCAAAGCCTTACCCCAAACCTTTCCGGAAGCTGTACCCCTACAAACTCAAGAAGGAGAAGGACACGCTGGGCAACGAGCTGATGGAGGTGGGGCGCAAGTGGGACAACAACAACAACAACAAGCTCCGTGGAAACAAGCACCTGGCGGGTGAGCCTCAGAGCGCCGTCTGTTTCCTCCGCAGTAAAGCATCATGTTGATGTTTTGGACGTTTTGACGCACAAACGGCCTCACTGTGGCACCTTTCCTCTGCATCTACCACTGTGTGTGTGTGTGTGTGTTAGCGTTTATGTGAGTCTTGTTTTCCACTGGCTCCTTGCACACCAGAGGTTCTCTCTCTCTCTCACAGCACATGCCTCTGTCACCCAGCCTTCCCTCTCTGTAATCACCCTCTCTGTGCGTCAGTGTTGCCTGTTTGCTGAATGAAGGTAGTGTGCTTTGCATCTCTGGACCTCTGCGTTCCCCTCTCTCTCCCAGCGGCCCTTTCCCCCCTAGCTTTGCTTCTGCTGACCCTGCTCGTCTTTCTCGTCGCATTTTGCATCGTCTATTGTCCTCCAACACGACATTTTCATAAGCCTGGTGTCCGCGATCTCAGCGTCCGAGAGTTACAGACCCTCCTGGGATGGTGTTGGTTGTAACACCGATGCAGTTCACATTCACGTTGTGGTGGAGCACGTAGCAATGTGTTCTACTTGCCAGCAGTGTGAACCAGGAAAAGTTGAGTACCTCCATTTTTTGGTGTGGTTTTGGAGGTTATTGAGGATGTTGAATCAATTTATGACATTTTTAGGATGAATAATTGTAGGTTTGTGTCCCCTAAAACCTTCAAATCAACACAATTTTCAACAAAATCAGCTCACCGGGAGTACATACATATATGGCCACTTTTTGGTTAAAATAGCCATTATTGACGCTGAAAATGTCCAAATTTGATATAGCATCCTCAATAACCTCCAAAATCACTCCCAAATTATCCAAATCAAGCAAGAAATTGTTTAGCTTTTGTCTGCATATGCTAATTTATGCTAATTGTACAAATTACCCAACATCTGCAAGTTAGCATCCGGCAGTTTCTATGTGCTTGGGGAACTTTTGGGGATCTCAACATTTCAGGGTTCACACCGCTGCTAACTAAACTAATGATTGAAGGGATTACTAAAACCTCAAAATCAACACAAAATCAGCCCCTAGACTAAAACATTTGACCACTTTCTGGTTAAAACTGCTATTATTGATCCTGAAAATGTCCAAATTTGATATAGCATCCTCAATAACTCCCAAATTGCTATTGTCTGCATATGCTAATTCATGTCACTTAATGTACTACACAATTTTCTTACATAAAACGTTGGTGAACTCAACATTTCAGGGTTCACAAACAGACTATCAAAGGGGGTACAGGAAACAAAAAAGTGTTGGGAACCACTGCTTTAACACGTCCTCTGTTTCCTCTCTCCTAGCCTGGAGGCAGGTGGGAGATCAGTGTGCGGTTCAGACTACTTCCTGGTCCCAGTGTTCCCGGAGCTGTGGGATGGGCGTCTCCTCTCGTGTTACCAACGACAACGCCAGGTGTAAACTGATCAAGGAGACGCGGCTGTGCAACGTTCGGCCCTGCAGCTCCATGTCCGTCCCCGTCAAGATGAGGAATGTGAGTGATGCTTTTAAGATTCTCAGACAGGCATCTCTTCCTCTTAATGAATCCAAGAGAGTGGTTTCAGAGAAAGGATTGCTCTCAGTTTGGTTTTTAATATCACGGCATGTTGCCGCAGTCCTTTCTGGTGCATTCGATCTATTAGTGGTTCTGTTGCTGTGTGGGAAACCCCAGCCGGGTGACGATGGAGTCGATTTAGGACACGTTTCCTCTGAGAAGCTTCACGATGGTTGTTTCCCAGTCTGAAGTAGAAGGGTATTCGGAGAGCGCAGACCAACGCAAATGCTGTTTCCAGAAATGAAACATAATGAACCCGCCGTGTGATTTGATCTGATCCGACCTAAATGTAAGGGGCTCTTCTTTGGCCCATGCTAAACCAGTAGAGTTCCATAATCCTGCTGACAAACAAACCAATAAACCAAAACATGACGTCCTTGCTGGAGGTAATAACGGTGATTCAAAGCTTAACCGTAAGTTCAAAATATTTGGAAATGCTCTGAATCTCTTCCTGGCAGATAGTATGGTTGATACTGCACAAAATACAACAACAAAAAACGATGTAATGCTTAAAATGGTTTGGCTTTTTAAAGTGAATTTACTGTTCTGAGTTTGAATTCCCAAGGATAACACAAATGATAATGTGAAGGTATATCAAATAAAGGATCCAAGAGGAGGTTCATGGGAAACCAAAGCCAGCCCTAATCATAAGAGGAAAGTCCATTGCAGCATCTTACCTTTCCCAAATGTTATCTTATCTTATGTTGAACTTTGTCAGCAATATGAAAACCAACTGGGAGATGGTTACATAAAAGAGAAGCTTGATAGCTATAGGCGTTGTCTCCCATTGTACTTTCGGACACTTTAAGAACACCTAGAACCACAGTTTTGGGCTAAAATCCCATAACTTTTCAGACACAAAACAAGCCCCCCCCCCCCTAATTTGTTTGCTGGTGTTTGGAGAACTCCCACGCTGAACCGTCACTGTCAGCCGCACTCAGCGTCTCTTTGCTTTGTGATTTAAAGAGCTCTCCATTCGCCCACTCTGTTTTCCTCTCATCACTCAACTCCCTCTGAAACGCTCTGCCTCTCGCTGTGAAACACTCAGGAGGCGGACGGGTTGTTTTGCACCTGTTCTCTCCCCGTGTTTTCAGAGCGGCTGTGGGTGTTAATGTGCATCGTGTCGATTCTGAACCATCACTGGCATGTTCCTCTCCGCCACTCATCGGTTGTTCTGACCTTTCATTTGTTTTTCTCTGTCTCGGTACTTAACGGCATCGAGTTTGTTTTCCATGGCGCGGGGACCGAGTAATGAGTTGTTTCGTCTTGCTCTGCGGTATGTAGGGCTTGGTAACGTTACACAATAGAAGTACTCAGTGCTTTTAACTAAGTAAAAGTGCCAATACTTAACTGTAGAAATACTCTGTTACAAGTATAAAAAAAAGGGCGGTGGTGCCGAAGTCTATAGGGACTTGGCTTGGCAGGTCACCAGTTCAAGTCCCGGAAAAACCAAGTGCTACTGAGGTGTCCCTGAGCAAGGCACCGTTCCCTACACTGCTCCCCGGGCGCCGTACGTAATGGCAGCCCACTGCTCCTAACACTAGGGTGGGTCAAATGCAGAGAAACCATTTTGTTACATAGTACCTGTACTACGTAATGACAATAAGTTCAATCTTCTTCAATCTTCTTCTTCAAAAGTACTGTGTTCCAAATCAAGTAAAAGTACACAAGTATTGGCATCAAAATATTACTTGATTCACCGAAAGTAAAAGTTCTCGCTATGCGGTATGACCCATTTCAGCAAGTTGGTTAAAGTTTCCTAACGCTGCACATGTTGTCAAGTCGAGACTTTTTCTTTATTTGCAGGACAATAAGAATGGTTGGGCCGTTTTGCACCACCAGTATTGCCTTTTTTCAATCTGTCCTACAGTGTGAAGCATCTCAACTGTGCCAACATAAAAAGCTTAGTGCCATGCGTGCGTCAAGGCTCTAGAGCAGGGGTCGGCAACCTTTTTGATATGAAGTGCCATTTTAAATAAAAAAATTGTGATCTGTGTGCCGACGATCGTGAACTGTCAACGGGGGGGGGGGGGAGCCTCGCTGCAGGGAAGCAGTGTGTGGGCCTCTTTCATCTGTGCAACTTACATGATGCGGTTTAAACACATTTAAATAATTGGTTTAAACGGCATATTAATAATAATAATAGTAAAATTCCTTTAAAGATCCTAGAGACGTTAGCATGGCTCTAGACTCTAGACTCCTTCACTGGAATTCACTCGTGTCTGTTTCCCTCCACAGAAAGGAAGGAAGTGCTCTCGTACCCACAAGGCTCCTGAACCCCACCGCCTGTCCTACGCCGGCTGCAGGAGCTCTCGTCTGTACCGACCGAACTACTGCGGCGTCTGCAGGGACGGCCGCTGCTGCTCGCCTCGTCGCACACGCACCGCCAGCGTGAGTTTCGCCTGTCCCGACGGAGAGAGATTCAACCGCTCCGTGATGTTCATCCAGTCCTGCAAGTGCAGCGATGAATGCAACCATCTGAACGAGGCCGCCATGCCGCCTCAACGATGGCTCTACGGAGACACACACAAGTTCATCGACTAGACATTCCCCCACAGCAAACAGACAATAACCTCCCATAGTGATCCCCAATATAGAATAGCTGTCCTTAGTGTATCTATGACAGGGGTGTCCAAACATTTTTCATCGAGGGCCACATACAGAATATTCGAAGGGCTGGGCCACTCACTACAGGTCAGGTTTGCCTCATAAGTGAAGTTATAAGTTAGCGAAATCAATCAAATCAAGTCAATTATGCTGCAGCTTTCCATAGGGTGTCATTTATTGTGTTGTCATTCCTTAAAACAGAAGCCTTAGATTGCGTATCATAAGAGGAAATAGGAAGGGTCTATTTCAAGGTTGTTATGTAAATAAGTTATTGGGCTTTTTTCTTATCAACTTAGATTTCTTAGAACATATTTTCAACTTGAATTGACTGAAAGTGGGTTTATTAACACATGAACACTACAGTGTAATATATTTACAGATATATTTAAGAAGTACAATACAAGACAAGCACAAGTTTCATTTGTGGGCCGCATTCCTGTATACTTTTTGAATTTGCTGATTAGTTTGGACACCCCTGAACTATGAGTAGACGCAAGCGAGGTGAACGAGAAACTGGGGAGGAATGGGGAGATTTGGACGGGGGAGAGCAGGTGCTTTAGTGTAGATAAACTTTGTTCCTACAGACTGTGACTAAGACATTTATGGACGCTACCAAACGTCCTCTGAGACTTTTGATGAGGACGATGGAGCGAGACACACAAACAGAACTGTTGATGTTTCTTTCGGTGGATCCACGTTACAGTTTCGTAAGTCCGACGAGCCGATAGAAAGCTGGTTGACCTCGCATTGGAGCTAATAAATGCACTCCAATAACTGGATAAACCAAAAGAAGACAAAGAAACCGGTGCGGCAGAAGATGGACGAGCATTTCAGATGTTCTTGAAGGAGGTCTTTTCACGGTATTTATTCACTGGTATTTATTGAGACAGACGTGATGACACAGTTGGGTCGCTATGTTTGGACGGACAAAACAGCTGAGAGCTGTCGGCCTAAACAGATCTGGGGCTCGACCCCTGGGTCAGAAAGCCAAATCTATAATGATGGATGATGAAGGAGAGGAGGAGGTATGTACTAGAAAAAGCCCGAGTTGAACCTGATGAGTTGAAGCATTAGCGGGGGAACAAGTCAAAGGTTGTTTACACAGCTGGACGTCCCCCTGCCTTCGAATCTACAAGAGACATTTAGCAAGAACAAGAAGAACAAGCATAGGATTCTGGCGCCGAGACGTCGTCCCGCCTAACTCTGAGCAAATTACAATCCTGACTCAGCGAGAGTGGACTCTTTGGTTTGCTATAAAAATAAAATTTGAAAAACGGCGTCTGCTGAGGTAAACATGTAATTTGTGACTCGCGGGTTGGAACCGCGGTCTGGCCTGTAATCGAGCGGCATGTGAGCTCATGACACAATAACTCATGCTTCATCCATGTGTAAGAGTGTTTCTGAGAGAGGAGCCTCATGGCCTTTGGAGAGGACATTAGGAAAGGATCCCATAAGACATTTCGATGGGAGGAAAATCTTTCGTCCACTTTGCGACAGTTTTTGATTTCTATCTACAGAGGAACTGACTTTTATCTTGACTGAATCATCACCATTTTCAGTATTTCAAAGATGTGTTTTCTCTCGGCTTAGATATACCTTCTGGATAATATTTGCATTTTCTACCGTCTCTTCTTGGCTTCCGTAGGCTTTCTTAGTTCAGAGACTTTGCCAAGAAACCTGAAACAACTTTTGCAGGTGATAACAAATAAAGTGTTTAATTGTTGGCCATTGATTTTGCCTATGTAGATGCTGTGGTTTTGGTACTGTATGTGTAGTTTTGTTTAAAGAACACTATAGAGCAGCTATGTACAGATGCATTGTTACCTTTGTAGATCTATCTGCTGTATAAGAACCGATCCTTTTACCCAGTTATACTGAAGTAGTCCATGTAGAGTTTAGCACTGAACAGAGCAGGGTTCAGGTCCTTTTAGTGCCAATTTGAAAGCATGAGGATTGTCTACTAGTGTGCAAACACCATCTGCAGTAATAAAGTCATGCTTTTTAGGATTACATATTTACAGACTTGCTGGAAACGGGTTGCCTACCAAATAATGGGATGTTAAGAGTTTGGAGTTCATTTTGCATTTTTAATAAAGACATGTTCACTCCTACAATTGGTCTTCAACATTTCCATAATGTTATATTTTTCTTTTAATGTAGATAAAATGACCTAATGTTGAGTTTTCAATGCCTTCAACAATTCATACATTGGTGTACTGCCCATGTCATGCATTTCTGGTTATTACCCGTCCCCTTGTGTTATGAAGGTTTTTATGCATGTAAACGGTCTGCAGTCAAACCCTCAAAGTACACCCTGTAGCGAGTAAAACTCTAACACAGAACAGACCTGTCTATGCTGCCCAGAACGCCTCGTTGGAGATTTCTTTTTGTTGGGCAGGAGCTCCAACAAGCCGTTTAGGACAGAGTGAATACACAGAAACCAATGTGAGTTTGGAAAATTGCACAATTTAAAGGTGACATGTCATGCTTTTCCGGTTATTACCCGTCCCCTTGTGTGTTATGAAGGTTTTTATGCATGTAATGGTGTGCAGAGTCAAAACCCTCAAAGTACACCATGTAGCGAGTAAAACTCTAACACAGAAAATACCTCCCCAAAACGCCTCGTTGGAGATACGTCTGTCCATTTGATTCTTCCGGGTACATCATGTCATGTCGTCCCCGGAACGAAATGGACCAATCCGTGGAGTCGTTACGTTACTTCGGTGGAGCAGTTACGTTAAGCCCCCGCTGATTGGTCCAAATTGACCAATCCACGGACTTCCTCACACACACACTCAGTGCAGGCAGCTCTGCTGATCTCTCCTCCCTGGCTGCAGGCTGATAACAGACAGTTGTGATCGCGGCGAAATTCTCTCTGCAGACCCATTCTCTCTGCAGACCCATTCTCACAGCGTTTATCAACCTTTGTCTTACTCAATATCAAGCCACATTTATTGTTTTTACTTCGGCTGTGACTTTGTGTGTGCTCAGGATGAGTTTGGCTGTGTATCGCTAAACAAGGAAATCACACCTCCACGGAGCTCAGCGCGATTCACAACGTCCCAACTGGTTCCGACCAATCGGAGCACACTGGGCTCACAGGGAGGGGGGGGCAAGAGCTGCAACGAGCCGTTTAGTGGAGAGAGTGAATACTGCTGAATACACACATACTTTACAGAGATGCTGTATGCGAAACCAATGTGAGTTTGGAAAATTGCACAGTATAAAACTATTCTAGTAGACCTCAATGGAATTATGATCAGTAGAAATGGACATGACATGGGACCTTTAAGATAATTATTGCTACTATTAAATTCTGATGTTAACATGGCATTACCATGCTTTCATGTGCTTTTAAAAAAAAAAAAATCACGACTCATGACAATTGTAGACGTTTTAACCTCAAAATACTAGTAGATACAAATTAAAGGGGCCCTATTCTCCTTTTTGGGAGTTTCCCCCTTTCCTGTAGTGTGTTAAAATACATTTTAGTGTATGTAAATGGTCTGCCAAGGCAAAATAAAGACCGTTAACGCTTGGAAACACGTCACATTACAGGCACAAATTACATATGAACCTGGAATGAGTATAATTTTAAGATTTAAGTGTCAATTACTTCAATATACGGTGTGTTTTACGACATACGTGTAATAAAAATGGCCAAATTCTTCACGTGGTGATTCTTTTATTGGAGGCATTCAATTGGATATTCAAAGAGTTAGCTGCCACGTGAGCATAGACCTACATGACTTTGTAAAAAGGCTTATCGTTGCAGGAGGAGGGGGGGACACAAAAATAACTTCCTATACAATACGATTTTCAAAAAGGGGGCTAAAATCATGTTCCTCAGAAGTATGTCTTTATACGTTTCCCTGAAGCTCTGAAAATGGGGTAGAGACAAGAAGAGCCTCAGAAGAGACCAAGACTGTAAAAATGGCATTTTATAAAAAGTTTTAATTTCAACAGTTAAAGACAAATTAAAAATCAACCCCCCATGTCACCCCCAAAAAAGAAAATGACAATAAAAATAAACGTTGGTGAACAGAGCAAAGCTTTTTGACTCAACGGTGAGATACGTCTACTTCCAAATACAAGACACGAGATCCATGAAGAAGAGATTTCTGCTGGGCACGAGGACTCATCTGGACTGCTCGACTGTAGAGAAGGGAGAGAGACACGATGAGCATTTTAGAGATGAGCGCGATGAGCAACAGCTGAGCATAACTACATTTCAGCGACTGGTTAAACATGCAGAGCAGATCCACAGATACATGACACAACAACAACAACTGCTGTGTGTTTCTGCCAAGACAAATGAAGGTTAATTACAACAGCTGACCAAATATCAATGGATTAAACAGACAGTATATCAACTATAGAGTGCTGCAGGAATGAGTCCTAAACCCAGGAAATAAGTTACCATTTAAACACTTCATATAAACTTTACCAAGTCAATGTTTTTCTGGCTTCCCTATAGCAGAAAATAAGGCACCTTTAGCTTGGCGGTGAAGTCATGTGACAGTGTTGTAGTTAATTTATTGCCCAACATTAGCCACCTTTAGCTTAGCGGTGGTGACGTGAAGTCATGTGACTGTGCTGTAGTCCCTTTATAGCCCAACATTAGCCGCCTTTAGCTTAGCGGTGGTGACGTGAAGTCATGTGACCGTGCTGTAGTTCCTCTATAGCCCAACATTAGCCGCCTTTAGCTTAGCGGTGGTGACGTGAAGTCATGTGACCGTGCTGTAGTTCCTTTATAGCCCAACATTAGCCACCTTTAGCTTAGCGGTGGTGGAAATTAATTAAGTGAGATCATTTTGCAGTCGTGATGAGATTGCATTTCTCAAAAAACCCAAAATTTCCAGAATGTTGTGCAAAAAGGCCATTTTTAATTATATGATGTTATATATCCAACAAAATGTATAGGAAGGACATGAAAAATATCCAAAAAGTGTATTTTATTAAGTCTGTAGAACTGGTTTTGTTGGCTGTGACATCTCCGCAACACCACAATACTTTATTCAGCATATTTGTACACATATTTTGAGCTAGTGCGGTTTCAGTTAATTGAGCAGCGTTGCGTTTTATGTTGTCTTGAGTTACGTGATTTGATCCCACACATAACGATCGGTCCAGCTTCACTAAAGCCCGTGAGCATTAAGAGGAGGCGAGGCTTACTGTAAGAGGAGATGTCGATCTCGTCCGGCAGCTCGGCCACGTTGACCTCAAAGCGGTCCTGCACGTCGTTCAGAGTCTTGGCATCAGTCTCGTCAGAAACGAAGGTGATGGCCAGACCTTTGGTTCCAAACCGACCGGCACGAGCAACCTGAAGCAGAGGAGGGGCAACGTGAGTTCAATCCACTAACACATGGAGCACAAAGGAGATACTGGGAAACAAAATGGGCGACCACTTTCTTTGATGAAGAGATGCTAACTATACTTCTTATTGATGAAAAGGGCAGACTGAAACTGTAATTGATAATAAAACGTTACCAAAACCTGTTTTCTTTGCCTAAGAAGATCTACATAATATGTTTGGACTTGTTTTTTTCTCATGACTTGATCAGTAGCATTTTCTGTGCTAAGATATATCGCAATTATATCAGCAACTCTGCGTAACTTGTGAGAAATAAGGTGATATTATCTGTAGACTTTCAAAACAAAGACCATTTGACTGTCTACATATCCAGTGACGAGGAGATGCTAAAACACTAACTGTATTTCTTATTGATAAAGGACCGAACATTTACCAAAAACCCGTTTATTCTTTGTTTAAGAAAAGTAGAAAATTCATTGTCAAACCGTGAGCTAAGTGAGGAGGACTCGGCGTAACTTACTTAAGAAAAAGTACGAGGACTTGTAAGAAATAAGGTGATCATTTGGCTTCTCTAGATTGACTGAAATGTTCAATAATACTACACGAAAACATTTAATGAAGTGGCCTAAATATGCTAAAAACCAAGGACACTTCACACAGACATGAGACTAATTAACACAACATATCCATGCTACGGTTATGCAGGTCTTCAAAAAGGGGGGCGGGGCTAATAGGTTTATCTGTGAAATAACCACCAGGATAATGATTGACTGTTTTGCCAGAAATCTACTTTTACTCACAGAAAATGTATAACTTGCTCCATCTCTCAGCCAAACTACTACTCAAGCAGCACGCGTTATGCCATCATCTACGGAACATTTGCATTCAGGAAAGTTCCCGTAAAGGCGAGTGGATTTATGGCAGGCAGGGAACCAACGATAAAAAGAACGGCTCTCACCAAGTACGACTCGGTTCCCTTCGATCGTACCAAAGAGCCGTTCAAAAGAATCGTTGGCGAACGTCACATCACTACTCTGAAGCTCACCCTGTGCAAATAGGTGTCAGAATCTTCCGGCATGTCGTAGTTGAAGACGATGTTGACCCGCTCGATGTCCATCCCTCTGCCAAACAGGTTGGTGGCGACCAGGATCCGCCTCTGGAAGTCCTTGAACTGCTGGTAGCGAGACAGCCTGGGGAGTAAATAATAACAAGTTTATATAGAAATACAATTCACGTAACTAATGCGTACATTACAAACTCTTGACTATTGTAGTTGTGTAATATCTGTTTTAACCTCAATATACTAGTAGATACACATTTGTGGGGTTTCTCCCTTTCCTGTAGTGTGTTTAGTACATTTTAGTGCACGTAAATGGTCTGCAAATAATAATTAAAATACTTTTAAAGCTTGGAAACCCGTCACAGTAGATGGATAAAATACAAATAAACCCGATAATGAGCAAAACGGGGCTGATTTAAGCTTCGATTACTTTAATATACGGTGCGTTTTACGACATACGTGTAATAGAAAAGGCCAAATTCTTCACTTGGTGATTCATTTATTGGAGGCATTCAATTGGATAGCTGCCATGTGAGCATAGACTTACTTAACGGTCACAACAGGACTTTCTGAAAGGCTTATTGTTGCTTTAATAATAAGTTTATATAGTATAGCACCTTTCAGTGCTTCACAAGAACAAGTTAAAATGAAGACCACAGTAACATGAATACAACAACAACATGAGGCAGAAATGTAGGGGGGGGGTGTTATCTATCAGCTGCTGCAGGATTACTGACTGA